CTTCATCGAATCGAATCACAAAAACTGTAAATCATCAAGTCAATATATATTTAAAACACGAGTTCTGTTTGTATTATTTCCAGACTTGTATATGTAAATAATCTTATATTGGTTTGTGTTTGCTGATTTTTATCTATTGTTTCTACTTGCAGACTTTGATATCTCCGACAACAGGAGCGTTTCCATTTCAAGGATTCAATGGAACAACAAACAATCCCTCTTCAGATTTTCCCTGGCAGCTACACTCGCAACCGCCACACGCTTCTTCTGTATGTGTTTCCCTTAGCGTTTTTTTAAGACATGTTCATAAATCAAGCAACTACACAAGTTCCTTGTACTGATTCAAATTTGTTTCTTTGTTTTCCCTTCGTTTGCAGGCTTTGCAAGAAACATATGGTGTTCAAGATCTCCAGAAGAAGCAGGAACTGATTCCTCATGAGATTGCAACGCAAAACAATGAGAGTTTTGGATCGGATCGTCAGATTAAAGTACCATCATACATGGTGAGTAGGAACTCTAATGATGGTTATGGTTGGCGAAAATACGGTCAGAAACAAGTGAAGAAGAGCGAAAACCCGAGGAGTTACTTCAAGTGTACATATCCCAATTGTGTATCTAAAAAGATTGTTGAGACTGCTTCTGATGGGCAAATCACTGAGATCATCTATAAAGGAGGTCATAACCATCCTAAGCCAGAGTTCACTAAGAGACCATCAGGATCAACATTATTATCCTTGGCTAATGCGAGACGCGTGTTTAATCCTTCTTCCGTTGTTAGTGAACCACATGATCAATCAGAGAGTTCGTCCATTTCGTTTGACTACAATGATCTTGAGCAGAAAAGCTTTAAATCGGAATACGGTGAGGTAGACGAAGAGGAGGATCAACCTGAGATCAAGAGATTGTAAGTAGTTCTTGAATTTGCAGAAGCAAAAGGTTTCTTCTTGTGTTTTTTTTTTTCTTAAGAAGAAAGAAAAAACTGACATTTTTGTTTTGTTTTGTGTAACAGGAAGACAGAAGGTGAAGATGAAGGAATGTCTGTAGAAGTATGCAGAGGAGTGAAGGAACCAAGAGTTGTGGTTCAAACTATAAGTGACATTGATGTTCTTATAGATGGCTTTAGATGGAGGAAATATGGTCAAAAAGTTGTCAAGGGCAATACTAATCCAAGGTTACAAAACTTAATCACTCAATATTTCATCTTGTTTCATGTTTCAAGTACTCTCTTTGTAACCATTTTCGTTTACTTGTTCAGGAGCTACTACAAGTGCACATACCAAGGTTGTGGAGTGAGGAAGCAAGTAGAAAGATCCGCAGAAAACGAGAGAGCGGTTCTCACTACCTATGAAGGAAGACACAACCACGATATCCCAACCGCGCTACGACGCTCATGAAAACAACATTCTTGGGACTTAGTCGCTAGTAATATCATTTAGGATTTGGAAAAACTCTTACTATGGTTATCTTTTGTGCTCATCACTGTTTGTTTATTTGTTTGTAATACAGTCAGTACTTTTGTACAGTGTGGTGGTTAGTAGTTTTTTTATCATCATGGCCTTAGAGACATATTGTGTGACTTGAAACTCTTGAGAGTCCATTTTAGTTCTTGTGTGTTGGTCTTTTGCTTTATTTGTGTACATTTCACATTCAAGATTGATAAGAAATAATATTGGTATGTAACCCACATTGTGTGTTGCTTTATTTTTTACACCACATTTAAGAAAATAACATTTAAATCCTTAATCCATTATATATAATTAGAACTAAGAAGTGAAACCAAAACCACAAATTTAGAATGGTGGAGACTATGCGCAAAGAAGATCAACCAAACAAAAAATAGAAAGAAACAGTAAATAGAAACAACAAATATAGGCTCATCTTTCTTCTCTTCTCTCACACAC